ATGGCTTTTGAAAGTGCTCAGACACTAGCTGAATTGCTTTGTCATAAGCTTACCTTCACAATGCCAGCTTTTAACTGAGCTGTTGAAGCTTCAACACTCCCATTAAGGTGAGGGGTGGGGACCTGATCAACTCAGGCCTTTGGATGAGTGGGGGGTTTGGTTTGGAGTTTTTCCCCCTTTCTGGAATCTCTTAAGATTCCTAAAACTAGACATCCCCTTTTCCCCTACATGGTGAATGCGAGTGCAGCCAAAATTAGGAGACTGCAGATGCTGCTGCTTCAACAGATGCAAACCCATCTTGGCCCAAAAGCTCTCCAGAAATGGCTGGGACACTCGCCCATCTGGGTTTGCATGGTGAAATAGAGATGGTCCTCCCCAGAAATCCTTGAGGATTGTGGTTGTAAGTAGAGGGGAGGATGCAAACGCTGTCAAGGGAGGTTGAAAAACCTGGTTTGATGTAAGCAGAGCCCTGGCATCCCAGTAGTTACCGTGGGTTATTGCTGGCCCTGTTTTTCCCCTGCCTGCAGTGCCCCATGTGTGCGGATCCTGGCCATGGGCTGCCAGCTTGGCCATGCTGAGATGCTGAATCCTGGTGCTGGCAGATAGAGGAGTTGGGTGCTGGGTTCTTTTATTTATTTCTCTCCCTTTATTTATTTATTTATTTTTTGCTGAGCCTCCCCTCCCACTGCAGCCGTCCCTGCTGAGCCCTGACCTCATGATGTCATGCTGGGAGTAGGACGTGTTGCTGGTTCTTGTTTAACCAGCCTGCCTATCATTTTCCCCCTCCTTGCACACCCTCTGCACATGTGAAACCTGAGACCACTCTCTGTCCCTTCCTCCCTCCACCCCCCCACCTTTTTTTTTGCTCTCTGTTCACCTCCCTCCACAGACTCCATCTTCCCTATTCCTGTAAACTTTTAAAGTTTTCTTGGTTTTATCTACTGCCTCTCATGCATTATTAAAATCAGCTGCTAACTGATTAGTCTCCTTTGCTCACTTGTTGCATCTTCAGTTGAGTATTTTTGTTTTTTTTTTTTTTTTTGCTTTTCCTCCCTCTCTGCTCCATCGGGAAGCTCCTTTCCATAAGGTTAGTACCGGGCTTGGGTCCCTGGCATGGAGTGTCTGCCTCTCCGGAAATGTAATGGGGACTGCGTTTGCAAACTGTGCCGCTAAAGGCTTACTAGATAAGCAAATTTGCAGGAGATCAAGGAGGCAGGAGAGAGAAACCTCTTGTGTTGGAAAAGAGGTTGGGTGATGCGATTTGGCAATAGGCTGTGTGGGTTTGGACTGCGTTTACGGAGGAAGTGGATGCTAGCTGGAGCAGGGGTGTGTCGTCCGAGTAATCACCAAGGGACTCAGTGGATCGTTAGAGGTGTAAATGCTGCACGGGGAATGGTGGAAAAGTGTTTTGGGTTTGCTGAAAACCGTGGGACGAGCAAGAGTGGACATCTGGGGGAGGGCATGGGGCAGGGGCTGGCAGTTTCAGAAATCCTATGAGCCCCTTGTGGGCTGGGGACGTGGGGATGCTGTCCTCTCTGCAGTCTGTGCCTCAAATTGCTTTGCTGCCCTTGATACTTTCCCTCTTTGCTTGCTTCCCCCATCCTTAAGAGGGGGAAGTAACATTTCCTTCCCTCTGGGGAGGAGAAAAGGGATGTGGGAGATTTAATTCCACAGCCGTGGATCTGCAAATTAAAGGCTTTTTTGGTGCGAGAGGAATTTTAACTTTAACCTCTGTTTCTTTTCTGACCTGTGTTATCTCTTCTGAAGCTTGCCTGAACCCCTCCTGGCTTTTATTTTAGCAAAACTAATTATAGTTCTGGAAAGTAGTGAGGGTGGCTAATGAATGTTGAAGTTGGAGGATCTGCCCGGCACCGTGCTAGATGCTGGAGCATGTCCCCGGCGCAGCCAGCCTAGTTGGGGCCTGCACAGAAGCCAAGAAAGCTGCTATTGGCTGAGAGGGGAAGGCTGTAGCTCGCACAGGTACGGTGCTTCGGTAGGGTGGGATCCCTTGGTGCTCGAATGAGCCCAGAACAATCAGAGACACTACCACTGGTCCAGCTCTATTGGGGCAGTGGTCAAATGGGCTAATAGCTCTGTGAGAGGCTGGACAGGCACAGCGGGGACTTGTTGCTAGTTGGATAACCTGGATTTGAAAGTGTGCCCTCGAGAATTGTGCATTGGCCGCTTCTCAAAATCCAGCGTGGGGCTTTGCACATGTGTCAGCTGTCACTGGACTTCTCGGGTCTGCTCCCCCGCGCCAACATTTTACTGATCGATCGCTCTGCGCCTCAGTTTCCTCATGCGTAACAGGGCAAAGGGGCTAAAAACCCAACTTCATCAAGAGTGTGAGCTCATAAGGATGTTTTCTGTACGCCAGGTCTTGTCTGAGAAGGAGATGCTGTTTAGAGATAGATAAACAAAGTCCTGGGAACAACTCCAGGAGGTTAAGTGTACAGTTTTCTGCTCAGTTGACAGCAGTGCAACCTGTATTTTCCGAGCAAGCAATCCTTCTGAGTGATTTTTTTTAATAGCTTGCAGTCAGACTAATAAAATCCTCTTAAAACCCTCCCATCTCTGTAATCTTGTTTACTTTTTGGCCTTCGCTCAATTTGGACAGTAAACTTGTACTCTTCTGTATCACTTAAAAAATATTAAGTTGGTTTCAGCTTCTTGGGTTTTGTGTGCTAACTAAAGGCAAAGTGTTAGGGGAAAGATCTCTATCTGGATATTTTCTGGAAATTTTTCTATTTGGGAGATTCCCCTACTGAGGAGCAAGACAGTCTCCTCAAATGGGAGAGGCAGTGGCTGGATGGTTAGAGCAGGGAACTGTGTGTGTTGCAGGGAACAAGGCCTGCGCCTTGGCAGGGCAGAGCCGGCTGACGCTGCCCATGCTGTCCCTCCCCTCAGCGACGCTTGTTGGCACCAGCTGGGGATCATGTCGACCATTAATGTGGCTGTTTTGCTGGAGCGCGGTGGCGGGAGAAGCTGCCCTGGGAGAGAAGGGAACCAGAGCAGATGACTGCTGGGTGCTGCATAAATAACAGAAAGCAGGGCTACTGCAGGGTTTGCTTTCCTTCTCTCCGCTTGCCAGGAGCGCAGGGCTTGGGCAGGATTTAGAGAGCGAAGGGAGGGAATGAAATGCAGAAAAGCTGTGCTAGGTGCTTCAAGTTGGTTGCTGTGGGAATTTGCCCCCCTGTCCTTTCCCTCTCTTCTGAAGACTGGCTGTGGAAGTGCCAAGGTCTCTGCTGGGGAGGGAGGTTGTAAAACCCCCGGTGCTTGTTTGGCTCATTAAAACCAGTTGTTCTCGCAGGCATCCCCTCTGCACAAAGGCTGGTGATTTTTAGCAGGGGAGCAATTTCAAAATAGCTCCAACAGCCCTAGGAAAACACGGAGAGAGCAATTTGCTCCCTGCATCTCCTTCCAGCCCCAGGCCTGGGAGCAGGGGCACTGGGATAGGCTTTGTTGAAGGTTTCCTCCGTGCCTCGGAAGCTAATCTGCTGTCACATGATGCTGGGAGCGCTGCTGCTTCTGTTGGCCTCAGCGGCCCACAGGGCCGCCATGCGTGTGGCTATAGGAGCCCGGTGGTGCAGGGGTGTTTTGCGAATGTGGCCGAACGACTGGATTCAAAAATGGTCTCTCGGAGGGCGAGGGGCAGTTTCTCTCATCGTTCTCGTGCAAACTTGGCTCTCAGGGAAACAAGTCCCCCTGCCAGGGTCAGGAAGGGAAACAGGAAAAGCAGCTTTTAAAAATAGCAAGCCCTTGAAATAGTCTCTGCATTGGGTCTCTTTGGGTTGAAGTATGCGTTTTGGCTGAATCGTGCATACAGTTGCGGCTGCCCCGTGGTGGCATCTCCCTGCTGGCCCCGCCAGCCGGAGGGGATGATAGTGCCTGGTGCTTCCCACGATACTGAGACGCAAAAGCAGTTTCTGCCTGTCCTTCAGGCGATGCGAGTGGGAAATCAAGGCCTGAAGAGGAGAAGTTTTTTTATATTATTTTGTCTTTTTGTGGTAGTTTAAATAAGTAGATGAGAGCCATAAAGATGACAGTTGAATTTCAGCAATTATTATAGGGCTGCTGTAAGTTGTGGGCCAGCTTTTCCAAATCGGTAAATACGAGCTCAGGGTTGGTTTGTTGGGGCCTCATCAGTGACAGTCTTTGTGTGCCAGGGAATAATGTGGTGGTGGTGGAGGCAGCAGACTCTCCGTATTTACCTGCTTTTGTTCTTTAACTCCAAGTGGTAGTGGGAGCTGCAGGTAGGTTGGCAACATGGCTCTTAATCTGCTCGTTGAGACTCATGGAGTTGCTCTCTGACGCTCGCTCCAGGCCCTGCACTGTGAGGATAGACACATGTGGCTGCATCTGGGGGGTATCTGGGGCCCTGAATACATGCATGCGAGGCCCCAAATCCCTGCAGAGCCCAGAAGTAGGCCTGAAGCACCTCCTTTCCCACCACCACATGTCTCTCTGCTCTCCACTTGATGCTTTTAAACTTCATTCAGGCTGCAACAGGCTGGCAGGGCCGGATGGGGGAAGGCAGATCTCTCTACATGCCAGGGCATGATGTTCCTGGCCCCTTTAGAGATGGTGCAAAGGGCTTTTGGGCTATCCAGGACTAGCTGATCTGTCCTTGGCTCTTGTGTTATTTGGGTATGGTGGAGAAATGTTTGGGTTGTTCCAGACTTGGAGCTGAAGATCAGTGGGCTTGGATCTGGAAGGAGGCATCACCCTTCCTTATGGGTGCTCTTTCAAAGCTCAAGGATTTTTACCATCTTTGCTCTGTGCTGTGGGGGCCAGCACCCAAAAACCTGTTTCTTGCCCAGCCGTTTCTACCATTGAGTGTGTGGGAAGGCCATTCCAGACATCTCTCATAAAAGGGCAAAAACTTGAATCTTGCAGCAGAGCATTATCAAAATTGCTTCCTCTTCCTGAAAGAGACTAGCTCAAATGTGTCCCCACTGCATGCCAGCCAAACACTGTTATATACTAGGTGTCTATGCTGTCATGAGCCTGCATTGCCTTTAATAAGCATATTGGACTGTTTATTGCAGTTAGAGCAACCCAAGTGTCTGGTGGATGTCCACTGTAGGATCGAACAGTGGTTACACAACTGATCTGAAGCAAGAACAATCCTCCGTGAGCTGCGTCTCCGCTGGGCATCCAGACCCTGGGCAGCTGGGCTGGCCGTGGATGGTTTTGTGAACAGCAGGTTAACCAGAAACCATATCCTTCTGCCTGAAACTGAAAGCCTGATGATTGTTGGTGTGACTTGCTTCTGCTAAGGTTTTTGTGTGTGTATATATTCATCATGCAAATAGCTGGCTGTGGCTGCCCTGCTTTTCACTGCTAGGCCTGTCTCTCCAGCCTCGTTCGTGCCTTTGCTGACAAAAGGACTCATTTCAGCATGGTGTTGATGATTTCAGCTTGAAACCCTGCGTAACCTTGGGGTAGCTTGTAGAGAAGTGATGTGTGGCATTCTTGACCTTAGGAGTCATCTCCTGAAAGGTTATGGCTCCAAGGCACAAGATGGCCAGGGAGTCAGAGGGTGGTTTGGGTGGAAAGGGGATTCTGGTGACTCAGTGGCGGCAGGCTCCGGAGCCCGTTAGGACTTTTTCGTTCCCCAGCTGGGGATTTGGGTTAGCCGGTGGCTCCTGTGCAAGCCCTTGCTGGCTGGGTGATGTGGGGTGACCCGTTGAGGCCGCTCGCGAATGGTGTGTGGCTCGCTGGGACGCAATTTCTACCCGTGGGGTAGCTGGCAGCCCTGGGGAAGAAGTGCAGCGTTGATCTGTGTCTCCACAGAGGTGGATGGCGCTCAGTTGTGTTTTGCATCGGGGTAACCATCTTCGTGGGATGATTTTTCAGGGAATGCTGGGATCGGTCATCTCTGGTGAGCCTGTGACCTATGTCCTTAGATGTGTTTTTGGTAGCAGCCAGGGTAATGGAGCGGGGGACTTCTAGATGGGGAGCCTGCCATCCTCTAATTTTAAAATTGGGGCTGTGGTGTTCAGGGCAGGCTGGCAAACAAGTTCAACAGCCTTCTAGTCTGCACCTCATCCTCTTTGAATCCAGAGAGGGTTTATGGATTTTTTT